TGTGTGTATTGTATATGGAACTGCACAGGCCAGAAAAGGGCCTCAGATTCCCCATAGCTGGAGTTACAGGGGGATTGTGAGCCTACTGACATGGTTGCTGGGTACAGAAATTCAGTTCTTCGAAAGAACAAGCACTCTCAGCCACGAAGCCGCCAATCCAGCTTCCGACCTTGCTGTTTGAACCTTAATAAAGGAGCTGGAGAGAAGGCTCAGTGGTTAAGAGCACAGGCTGCTCTTCTAGAGGACCTGAGTTCACTTCCCAGTACCTCATATTGTAACTCAGCCATCTGTAACTCCAGTCCGAGGGGACCCACTGCCCCCTGCTGGCCATCACTGGTACTGTATGCATGTGGTGCGCATGCAGGCAAAAATACACATAAAATAAAAATTATTTCAGAAATTAATTTCAGTTAAGAATAAAAAAGGGTGAGGGAGAGCCGGGTATGGTGGTACATGCCTTTAATCTCAGCACTTGGGAAGCAGAGCTAGGCAGATCTCTGTGAGTTCGAGGCTAGCCTGGTCTACAAGTAGAGTTTCGGGACAGCTAGCACTGTTACACAGAAATTTCAAAAACCAAAAACAGACAAAAACAAAAACAAAAAAAAAAGCAAGATTCCCTTGTGGCCTCAGCAGGGGAAGGAGGGAACTGGTGGTGGATGACATCGGAGGTAAGGGACCAGATCACGCAGAGATTGGTGGCCCTTCCTGAGGACCGCGCCAGTGGAGAGAGTGCAACTGTGGCCAGTATGACTGGTGCCCTCTAGTGGCTGTGTGAGGACCACGCTGTAGGAATGTAGGCTTTGTGGTTAATTATGCGTATGTGTGGACTGTGGCTGTGAGTGCAGGTTTCCCGCCTAGCAGAGATGTCAGAGACCCCTGGAGCTGGAGTTGCAGGCAGTTGTGAGAAGGGGTTCCGGGAAATGAATGAAGGTTCCCTAACCACTGAGCCACCCTTTCAGCCCTTCGGTTTTGTTTCTTTGAGACAGAGTTTCATTATGTAGCCCAGGCTAGCCTGGAGCTCACAGAGTTCTGCTTGTCTCTCTGCCTCTTGAGTGCTGGTATTAAAGATGTGTGCCACCATGCTCAGATTATGAGACCCTGTCTTTAAAAAAAAAAACAAAAAACAAACCCTCCCCAAAAAAAACTGGGTGCTGGTGGAAAACACCTTTAATCCCAGCACTCAAGAGGCAGAGGCAGGTGGATCTCTGTGAGTTCGAGGCCAGCCTGGTCTACAGAGTGAGTTCCAGGACAGAGTCCAAAGCCACAGAGAAACCCTGTCTCGAAAACAAAACAAAACAAAAAAAATAAATATAATGAAATAAATAGAAAATAGAGGACTAAATGTCTTTAGTAACATCTATTATATGACGTATGTATGTACTCATTGAGTATGCATGCATATGTGTGTATTTTTTGTGTTTATAGGTCAGAGGTCAATGTCAGGTGTCTTTCTCTGTTACTCTCCACCATACTGTTTTGCTTTTTGGTGGCGCTGGAGATTGAAACCAGGACCAGTTGCATGCTGGGCAAGTGCTCTGCATCTCAGTTACCCCTCCCTCCTTCCCCCCTCCCCCTCCCTCCTCCCTCCTCCCATCTGCTCCTCAGAGAGGGTGAGGCCTCCCCTAGGAAGTCTACTAAGTCTGTCCATCATCTCCTTGAGGCGGGACAAGGCACCTCCCCACCCCACACCCCTGTGTCTAGGCTGACAAGGCATCTCTCTATACAGCATGGGCTCCACTAAGTCAGTTGTGCATTAGAGTTAGATCTTGGGCCCACTGCCAGTGGCCTCATACATTGTCCCAGCCACACCATTGTCACCGATATTAAGGGAGCCTAGTTCAGTCTCAGGCAGGTTTCCCATTGTCACTATAGTCTCACTAGCTCGGGTCAGCTGATTCTGTGGGTTTCCCCATCATGGTCTTGACTCCTTTGTTCAAATTATCGCTCCTGCCTCACTTTAATTGTTGGTTAGTTGTGGATTTCTGCATCTGCTTCCATCTGTTTCTGGAAGAGAGTGCTAGCTTCTTGGGGGTGTGGGTTGTAGGCTGGGTATCTTTGGCTTTATGTCTGGTATCCACTTATGAGGGAGTATACTATATTTGTCTTTCTGGTGTTGGGTTACCTCACTTAGGACTGGTTCTGTCCATTTGCCTGAGACCCATCTTTTTTCAAGAGAGGGTCTCTCGTTGAACCTACAGTTCTAAGATTTGTCTAAGCTGGGTGGCCAGCCATCTCCAGGCTCTCTGCTTGTCTTGTCTCTCCAATGCTGAGTTTACAGGAACCACACCAAGCTTAGCTTTTGGGTCAGCACTTGGGGGTCGAACTCAGGACCCTCATGCACTTTACCCATTCAGTCGTGAGTCATCTCTCTAGCCCCTATGAACATGATTAGGAAGTTAAATTACTCAAAGGATATAAATTACCAATGACCAAGTTCAAAGATTAGGCAAAGGTTTTAAATTAAGTTTAAAAATAAATGAGCCATGGGCTGGAGAGATGGCACAGAAGCTAAGAGTACTGGCTGCTCTTCCAGAGGTCTTGAGTTCAATCCCCAGCAACCACATGGTGGCTCACAACCATCCATAATGAGATCTGGTGCCCCTTTCTGGCCTGCAGGCTGTATACTGTATAGATAATAAATCCTTTAAAAAATAAATGGGCCATTTATTTTATCTTAAAGAATTCCCTAGCTGGGAGGTGATGGCACACATCCTTTACTCTTAACCATTGAGCCGTCTCTTTAGCCTGCAATTCTTCTATAAGCCACGTGACCAGTGATGGCCAGTGACCAGCAGGACACGCGAGGCAAGGGGCAGAGTTTTCCCTCCAGTCCTGGGTGTAACCAGCCCTGCAGCTACCTTGATGTCTGATTTCAGGTCTCCAGGAACGTGAGATGAGGTGGCATGCTGGTGGTTTAAACCACTGGGGTTAAGGGACATTGTAAAGGAAAGTAAATGGGTCCAGCTGTGTTGTACACAAGGCAGACCTTCCAGAAGGAATTGTTTTCTCTCTGTGTTGCAGCTGATTCTTGGAAGAAAAATAGGAGTGGGGGCTGGCGGTGAGAGGGTTAAACCAGCATGTGCAAAGGCTCTGAGGCTGGAATGTGGATGAGGTCCCTTGCTAGAACCTCAGTGGTCCCTGCCACTGGGGCTTTGGGAAAAAGGGCCATAGGGTCATACAGGCCCAAGTACCATGGGATGGGGCATAGAAAGGTTTGGGGTGTTGTTCTAGGGATGTTGAGGACCACAGTAGAATGTGAGCTATGAAACATTCTCACCTATGTTCATTGTTCTCCAAGACTGGCTCCTTATTCCCTTCCAGTCTGTGATCACAGGTCCATGCTCTGCAGACAAAGAGGACGGGACCATGCACTTAGCCTGCCAGAGATGCCCAGTGAGGGCAGAGCAAGGCTTCTGGTTATCTTCATTAAGTTCTCCCAGGCACACACGCCGGATTCTGGCTCTAATTCTTCCCGGGAGTCCGAGTGCATGGACACACCATCCATCTTTTAGGGAAGTATAATTTTCTGATGGCTTTAGCCCCTCAGTCCTCCGTTGCCAGCTCACTCCCTCCCGTGAGGTCGAGTGGGAAATGAACGATTTGGATCTCATTCTTCCCTGAGAGAATCAAAGCCGCCACCTGCATGCAGGCTAGGGGGCCAGGTGGGAAGGGGACTGGCATTTCCTTATTAGGCACCTGGTTGGCTGTTGGTGATGTCCTCCAAAGAATGTCAGGTGAGAACTATCTCTCCTGGTGAGTCATACTTGGCAGGGGTGGTTGGGGATGGGTGGGGTGCATCCATAGGGTGTAGAGGACAAGGAAATACACAGTAACACCCTCCCTCCCTCCTTCCCTGTCTCGTCCCTCCCTCTCTCCCTCCCTCCCTTCGGTCCCCTTTGTAGACCAGGCTGTCCTGGAACTCACAGAGCTCCGCCTGCCTCTGGTATTAAAGGCATGAGCCGCCACCACCGCCCAGCTCAATACATAATTTCTCTGTAAATTTATATCTCCTACGGAGCAAATCTGCCCAGCTTCCTTTAGGGGAAACTGAGACTCATGAGTCCTAAACCCTTAAATCAGATTGTCCACTTTGATTTTTTGAGAAGATCTCTCTATGAAGACCCGTCAGCCCTGGAACTCTTATGTAGCTCAGACTGTCCTCGAACTCACAGAAAGAGATCTCTCGGCTACTGGGATTATAGGCAACACCTTTTTTTTTTTTTTTTTTTTTGTCTCCTTTTAGACAACTAGCCTATCTAGCCTATCTAGCAAGGATAGGTTCTTCAGTGTCCTCTCCCAAATGCTGGGATTTCAGGCTTGTGACTCTGCCTGCATTATATGTGACCCCGGGGAATCTAACCCAGGATTTCACACATGCTAGGAAAATACCAACTGAGCTACAGCCCAAGGCCCATTCCAGCACTTTCTATGTACCCTTCTGCTGGGAGACATCGGGAAGGCGCAAAAAAGGGGCTGTACGCTTGGGTCGGGCTGCCAGGCTGCGGTGAGACAGCTGGGCCTGTAGTGCACACCTAGCTTCACTTTTTTAAACCTAGGGGGTCCATCCACCCTGAATCAATCAGGGCTGGAGACCCACCCCAATCCCCCCGTCCCCCAGGATGGGGCGGAGGCGTCGTGTGCCTCAATTTCCCTGCGCAGCCCCTCCCAGCCACATTGTAACTGAACCGCAGACTCAACCTTTTCTCTGCTTGGAGCGGCTGCCCTGAGGTCTGAACCATTCTAGCACGGAGGGGAGACGTGGAGGGGCGCGCAGGGGACTGGTCCCAGAGACGCCGTCTTTGGAAACAAGCCGGGCATGTCAAGGGAAATGAATGAATTTCTGCGTGGGGGGTCGCGTCTGTGGCCACAGACCTTGCCGTGTCCCGACGCCTCGGTCCCCGCGCTACCCTGCTTCCCCCCGTGCGCGCTTGGTTTGATCCACTTCGCGAGGGCTTAGGGCTGTGCACCCGGCCCCACGCACAGACCTCGAGGTCCTCGTCGCTGGCGGATCGGTCCTCGCTCGGTGTGGGGATGCGATCTGCAGCAATGGCGCTCGCCGTTCGAGTCGTGTATTGGTGAGGCCCCGGCCCCCTCTTTCCCCGTTGCCGGCCCTTCCTTTGTGCCAGGGACCCCCTTCCCTGCTCCCCGTCTTTTGTGCCCTTCTCCGCTCCCCAGCCTTTCTACCAGGGCGTTGGCTGAGCACGGGGACTGCACCCCAGACCAGTTTTTAGGGAGAGACTTCCTAGTGGGTGGGACGGAAATAACGGCGCTTCAAGCCAGATGCCCCGCATCTGACGGCTGGGGCGTCTCACCCTGTGAAAGTGGAAACTGACTCAGCGCGGAGCGGAGGAGGGGAGGGGAAGGGTAGCATCGGGTTTCCCTGGGGAACCTTCGCCTCCCGACAGACCGTTTCCCTTCCCCCTCTCTGGGCAGCGCCGGGTGAGTAGAGAAGGTCACATGGAGGCTGCCCTGCCCGGTGTGGTGGTGGGTTGGCGCGTATCCGCATTGTAGTGCTAGTTACGGTTGCTCGGTTGCTCGCCTCTCCTGGTTAGGCCAGTCCTCAGTGTGTACCTGAAAAAAAACGGCGAACTGAGCCACCGAGTGGTGGTGCACACCTTCAGTTATACAGCACTCAGAGGCAGGTGGGTCCTTGTGAGTTCCCAGCCAGCATGGTCCGCTTCACCAGGCAGCCAGGGCTACATAGGGAGACGACCCCCCCCCCAAAAAAAAAAGAAAAAAAGAAAAAAAGAAAAAGGGGTCATGTGGGGTGGATGGTAGATGAGGATATAGTTCATCTAGAATGTGCCTGAAATGCACCAGGCCCTGGGATCTGCCCCTGGCAATTTAACGCCCTCTCCCCAACCAAAGCCATCTCTTTCCGGCCTTTGGGGAGTGGGTGCTGGTGAGTTAACCTACTCCCTTTCTGGCCCAGTTCCCCTTCTGTACTGTGAAGGGAGGTGGTGGTTACCCTGTTAGCAGCTGTGATTGTGCCCCTGCTAGAGGTGGGCATAGAAAGGCCATCCGTTTTCTCTCCGTGGCCTTTTTTTCGTTCGGCAGCTTACTCAGCCAGCATGCAGTAAGCGATTAATAAATGCCTGCTGGATGAATCCCCCACCTCTGCAGCCCTTTGAGGGAGGGATATTCTATCTCCATTTTACAGGGGAGGAAACCCAGGCTGGGAACGAAGCAGGGCTAGCTTGCAGTCCTAATCTGGGTTCTCAGGGGCTCCGATCAGTCCCCGATTTCCGGGATTCTTTCAAAAGCCGGCTTTGACGCATTGCCCCCATGAGGCCACTGCTCCAGAGCCCAGGCCTGAGATAGCCTGCAGTCTGGAAAGTTGGGGGCTGGGGGAGCTTGTGTTTCATACTGGGTGCTGGGGAGAGTTGGGATTCCTGAGTGACAGCCAGGCCGGGGTGTGGGTGGGTGGGTGGGATTCTACTGAGGCAGCTTTTGTCCCAGTTTCTTTCCTGATGTCATCTCCCTCCTACCGTCTCCCCCCCCCCCTTGTTTGGTGTCGACTTTCTCCGTCTCCATGTGATACCTGCACCTTCCCCCCCCCCCGGGGGCCATTGTCACCTCCTCCTCATCTGGATATCTCTGTATCTATTCCTGTGCCACCCTGTTACCTGCCTCGTTCGGGCAACCTGCTCCGTCCTGGGTCTGTGCTGCCCTGGTGGACTGCGACAACCCTGGATTCATCTGCCAGTGGAGCTTGAGGCTACAAGCCCAAGGTGAGTGAAGTCTCTCAGGAGAGTCTTGAAGTAGGTCGGCGTGGGTACACCATGGGGAGGATTTGCAGGGCCTGGCTGTGCCCCCAACAGGCTCCTCCCGTATCCTGTTTTCAGTATCTCCAGCTCAAGGAGAAGCTAGAACATGAGTTCCCCGGATGCCTGGACATCGTGAGTCTCGGATCGGGGACGGAATCACCCGGATCGCTTCCCTGTCATCTGGGACTGGGAGGCAGTGGGGATGGGTTAGGCCAGTCCTCCATGTCTTCACTCCCTCTGGGACATGGCGGGGAGGGTATCCCTGAGAGGACACGGCAGCCCCTTCTAACTCCTCCTTTCCTCAGTGTGGCGAGGGGACTCCCCAGGTCACCGGGTTCTTTGAAGTGACAGTAGCCGGGAAGTTGGTTCACTCCAAGAAGGTAAATCTGTGTCCTGTCTCATGGGGGGGGGGGGTCACATGGCTTGGGGCCTAGCACAACTCTCCCCTCCCTTCTCCACAGAGAGGTGACGGCTATGTAGATACAGAAAGCAAGTTTCGGAAACTGGTGACCGCCATCAAAGCTGCCCTGGCTCAGTGCCAGTGAGCCCTGGAGGCAGGGGTAAGGATGCTGGCTGCCGGGAGCAGGGTGCGGCCTTAGGGGTGTTTTTTCCTGTGTATGGACTCTCAAGAGTGGGGGATGTGGCCACATCCCAGGGGCCCCTGGAGCCAGGAGGGCTGGGAATCATACCTGAGGGGTGGCAGCATGGTGTTGTGTAAGTGACGAGGGCAAGGGGCTTGCCTTAAGTGGCCCTCTTGGTTCCGGAATGGAAGATGCTAAAGCGGGTGGTTGAGGATGTAGCTCAGTTGGTGGAGCGCTTGCCTACCACACAGGGAGCTCAGAGTTCCAGCTCCAGCACTCTGTAACTGGGGGAAGTGACTTAGCCCCCGGGGAAGGCAGGAATGAGACCTTTCAAGGCTGAGGCAGAATGATTGCCCATGACTTGCAAGCCAGCCTGGGCCTCATGAGACGATGTCTGAACAAAACAAAACAATGGAGTGGAGAGATGTTGTCATAGCGGTTTAGATCACTGGCTGATTTCAAGTGGACCTGGGTTCAGTTCCTGGTAGCGACAAGGTGGTTCATTATTACCCGTAACTCCAGTTCCAGAGAATCTGGTGCCCTCTTGTGGTTTCTGAGGGCACTGCACACATATGGTACACAGACATACACGCAGACAAACACTTTCGTACACACAAAGAAACAAAGTAAAAGAGTTGGCATTGTGGGGCAGGTCTGCGATCCCAACATTTTGCAGGTAGGGCAGGAAGATCAAGAGTTCAGGGTTGGTGGTGCACACCTTTAATTCCAGTACTCAGGAGGCAGAGGCACGTGGATCTCTGTGAGTTTGAGGCCAGCCTGGTCTACAGAGGGAGTTCTAGGACAGCCTCCAGAGCCACAGAGAAAGCCTGGCGGGGCGGCTGCCAGGGATGTGGAGATGGCTTGGGTTAGGGGCACTTGTTGCTTTTGCCAAGGGACCTAGGTTTGATCCCAGCACACGTGGTGGCTCACATTAGTTCCCAACTCCAGGCAATCTAATGTACTCTCCTGACTTCCATGGGCACCAAACACTCAGGTGCTTACAGGCAAAACACCAGCACATAAAATAAAATGAATAAATCTAACCATAGCTGCAAAACAGCCCTGGCCGTTGGGCCCTGGGCCACCACCGTTGTTCCTTTGGCAGAAAAATTTGTGATGCATTGGGTCATGTGGGGGTGCGGTCCAGGGAATACAGCCCTGTTCCCCATTCACAGCACACTCTCCGTTTGGTTTTATTTATCTATTTATTTTTGTTTTTTTTGAGGCAGTCAATAGCCCTGGCTGTCTTGTAACTTGATTTGTAAACCAGGCTAACCTTGAACTCTCTCTGTAGTGCTGGAGTTAAGGGTGTGAACGAACACTGCCTGGCTTTTTTGTTGTTGTTGTTGTTGTACTGGGAATTGAAAACTTTGCCACGTACATGCTAGGTAGGAGTACTATCACCAGGTCCCAACCCCCAGCCAGCCCCTCACTGGGGGATTCTAGGCTCTACCACTAAGTTACCTTTATTTTTCAGTTATTTATTTTGGTACTGGAGCCTGTCTGGAGCTCATTCTTGTAGACCAGGCTGGCCTCAAGCTCACAGAGATTCGCCTTCATTTGCCCCCGAGAGCTGGGATTAAAAGTGTGTGCCACCACTGCCAGGCTTTTGTTTGTTGCTTTTTGTCTTTTTGAGGCCACTCTGTCTGACTGGCTGGGCTGGCTTGAACTCAACAAGGAGCCTAGGCTTCGCTTTGAATTTTGTTTTCTTGCCAGTTGTTCCAGGTGTGCTCTATAAACTCCGCCTCCTCTGCAACCGGCTGGCTTAATCAGAGCAGTGCCCCAGTTTCTCACTCCATACCTGGCGGTGGTGGCGTGCACACACCCGCCTTTGATTCCAGCACCGGGAAGGATTGCCAGGACTGCGGGAATGTGCCAGTGCACCTGGCTTTGCTTTGCCTTTTAAACCCCCCTCCCCCCAGCCCTGCAAGCTGACTGTTCTGTCTCTGTCTGTCTGTCTGTCTCTCTCTCTCCAGTCCTGAGACCTCCTGGCAGCCGCCTTATGACAGGAAGGACTGAAATGTCTTGAAGACCTGTGGTCTTTCCTCGATGTTCCTGCGGCCACCAAGTCAGGCCAGAGAGTGCCTCTGTGAGGGCGTGTGCGTCCCAGCATCCCGGAGTCCACCCGTGCATGCCCATCTGCCCTCTTCCTCGCCTCTCCCTGAATTCCTCCATGTCTCCCATCCGTTTACCTGCCCTGGTTTCCCTTTTCCACCTCAGACTGCAAGAAGATAAGCAGCCATGTTGCCAACAGTTCCCAGTTGAATAAAAGTTAGATGAGGCAACTTAAGGGTGACATGGTTTATTCTGGTCACACTCCATCCAGCAGGTCACGTTGTATCTGCAATCTTGAAGCAGGGAGTTGGGGGTCCAGAAATGGCTCAGCAGGCCAAGGGGCTTGCTGCCAACAGCTGAGTTGCATCCTGGGACCCACGTGGTGGAGGGGAGAAGTAACCCCTGCAACTTGTCCTCTGACCTCCATTGCATACTTTGGCAAACACTCTGGAGAGTGCACACACACAAAGTAAAAATGTAATAAGCAGGGTGAACCTCATGCTCGGCTCTCACAGTTGAAGATCTCCTTCCAGGGCGTGGTTCCACTTAGAGTCAGCTGGAAAGCCATCTCTCAGTGGTAAGAGGACCCTGGGTTCAATTCCCAGTGCCCACATGGCGACCCACAGCCTTCTGTAACTCCATGTCTAGAGGATCTGATGCCCTCTTGTAGGGCACTAGGCACGCACAAGGTGTACACACACTCAGGCAAAACACCCATATATATATAGGATGGTAAAATTTTTTAAAGATGGTGATCCTTGCTTCCCACTCCAAACTCCCAGGAGATTCTTGACAACTGGCTGGCCTAGAACTTTCTGTGTTGTGAAGGACATTCTTGAAGTCGAATCCTCCCGCCTCCACCTCCTGAATGCTCAGACTTCAGGCATCTGTCAACATAACCCCCAGTATGTCGTTAATGTTGATGGCTACACAGTAATTCACCATTCATCTATTGTGACTGTGTGGGCGTGTTTGTTTAAGCGCCCATGTTCAGTTCTTTTGTGTACCAAGGCCTCGACTTGCTTGATCTGTAGTTCTTTCCTCCCACGGCAAAGGTCACGTGAGGACACTTGTATAATTTCCTTCTGAATTGAGGAACTTGGTCCTTCTGCTCACTAAGGTCAGGGGGACTGGAAAAGTTTAATCTTCGTGTCTAAAATGTCCCAGATCTCAATTATTTGGAGATACAAAACAGACAAAACAACAACAAAAACCAAAACCAACCAAACAAACAAAAAGATAGGGCAGATAGCTCGGGCGGTAAAAGTGCTTGCTGTAAATACAAGGTCCAGAGTTTGAGCCTTAGCGCCCTTGAAAAAAGCTAGTCATCATGGTGTGGCTGTGTACCTCTAACCCCAGAGCTGGCGAGGTGGAGCTCTCTGGAACCTGTGGGCCAACAGCTGCTGGGCCTAATGGTCTGAAGAAAAGGTGGGCTGCCAAGCTCAATGACATGAGTGCTGTTCCTGGAGCCCATATGGTGGAGAGAACATCACAAACTTTAGGCCAGCCTGGACTCCATGAGAAGTCACCTTTAAAAAGTAGAACACAAACCTGGCCGGTGGTGCCACACACTTAATCACAGGACTCGTGAGGCAGAGGCAGGCGGATCTCTGTGAGTTTGAGTCCAGCCTGGTCTACAGAGTGAGTTTCAGGACAGCCAGGGCTACACAGAGAAACCCTGTCTTGAAAAAAACCAACCAAACAAAAAGTACAGAGCCATCACTGCAGGTCTTCTGTCTCACCCCCCCCCCCCCCCAGTAAAAAAAAGTCTGGTAAGATGGTTTAGGGCTGCAAAGCCTGGTGACCTGTGTTCTGTCCCCAGAGTCAACAGCCAACATAAACGTGGAGAGAGCTGATGCCACAAAATTGTCTTCTGACCTCCATGTATGCCCTAGTTCCCCCAATGTGTGTGCCTCCCTCCCTCTCTTTGTCTCTCTCTCTCTCACACATGATAAGCAAATGAGGATTCTGTCCTCAGCACTGCCAAATCTAAGCAAAGAGCAAGACCAAGAGACTCTCTAGCCGTCTGTAGAATCTCTTCTTGTCTCTGAGCCTGTCCTAGGGTGGGTCCGGTCATATAAACATTTTACGAAAGCTGCCTGTCCCTACCCCCTTTCTTCGGTAGCCTCACACGCGTCTGCCTGCCGACACCAGACCTAATTCTGTCCTCCCCAATCCTTCGCTTCCTGCTGAGATTTAGAGGGTTGTCAAGTTTGCTAAATGGGACCGCCTGTGTTGAGAGCGCTAGGGGCCAGGATAGCCACTAGGGGGCAGCAGAGACTCTTCAGATCCTCAGGGAGACAGCATGGAGGGCCCTGGCCTCTTTGTGACCGCACAAAGGGACGTATGAAGAGTCAGAGCCTTAAAAGCAGCCAGCAGAGGGCCTACATGGGTCTGCACAGGGTTAGCTTTTGTTTGTTTTGTTGTTTGCTTTGTTTAGTTGAGACAGAGTTTATCTGAAGCTTTGGAGCTTGCTCTGTAGACCAGGCTAGCCTCCCAGCTTAGTGTTTTTATTACAGCACTCCTGAGCGCGAGAGCGAGTGGGTCCCTGATTCTTGTGCCAGCCCTAGGGAACGCTTCCTCCTGTTGGGTTGCTGTATCCAACTGCAATATGAGAGTTTTTTTTTTTTTTTTTTTTTAAAGCTTTATTATATTATATTTTATTTTGTCATGTTTGGTTACCTCTTAGAAGTCAGAAGACAGAAAAGGGAGTAGATTTTGAGGTAGAGGAGGTGGGAAATAGAGGGAAGGGAAGCTATACTCAGGGTATAATATATTCCTGCCACCCCAACCGTCCAGGGTTTCACTTTGTAGCCCTGACTGCCCTGGATCTCGCTGGCTCTGTAGACCAGGCTGGCCAGAACTCAGAAGTCTTCCTGCCTTTACCTCACAAGTGCTGGGATTAAAAGCGTGGGCCCTTACCACTGTGGGCTTCTGGGTTCTTTAACTATCTACCCTTGGTTGGCCTGGATTCAGAGATCCTACTGCCTCTCAGTCTTCCAGCGAGCTAGGGTTAAAGCTGTGGGCCAGTACTCTCAGCTGCCCCTGGAAAGGTTAAAAAACTAAGCTTGGCGTGGTGGCACATGCCTTTAATCCCAGCACTCGGGAGGCAGAGGCAGGTGGGCCTCTGTGAGTTCAAGGGCAGCCTGGTCTACACCGCGAGTTCCAGGACAGCCAGAGCCATACAGATAGAGTGTTTTAAACAAACAAACAAAAAATTGAAAAATAAACCCAAAACAAGCAAGGTGGGTGATACAAGCCTTTGTTCCCAGCACTTGGGAGGCAGAGGCAAAACAAGTTTGAGGCTAGCCTTGGCTACATGAGACATGTGTGTGTGTGTGTGTGTGTGTGTGTCACTCTGTAGCTCTGGCTGGCCTGAAACTTACTGATTTTTGCCTCCTTTATAATAAAATCTGTTTTTATACTTATGTGTTTGAGACAGGGTTTCTCTGTGTAGCCCTGGCTGCCCTGGAACTCCCTCTGTAGACCAGGCTGGCCTCGAACTCACAGAGATCCGCCTGTCTGTGCCTCCTGAGTGCTGGGATTAAAGGCGTGCACCACCACCCAGCTCTGCAGCACCTTCCTGGGAGCAGAAGAGATCCTGAGCCCGCTGGGAAGATGGAGGAAGGGCGTGGCTCGGGAAGGGCTGTCACACCATCTGTTACTGTGTCCCCGTGGCCCCTTTCAGTTGTCCGACCTGGCTGAGATTTCTGCAGACACTGGTGGTGCTCTAAGAGGATTGGGTTAGGTGATGAGTTGGGCTAGGTCAAGGCCGAGGATGCTACCTATCTATCGTCCAGCTAGAGGCTAATGAGAAAGGAGGAAGCCAGGAACGGGGCATCAGAATGGCTCAGGGAAGCCGAGTGTGAGGTTGCATGCCCGAACTCCCAGCACAGCAGAGGCCGAGGGAGCGTTGCCTTGAGTTCAGTTGTAGCCTGAGTTGCTTAACAGAACACCCCGCCCCACTTTCAGATGAATTTAACTTTACTGCTCCCTGCAGCGGCACCGCACACTTCCCTTCTACTCAAAGAGCACTTTTACAGGCTACAGTGGACTCGGGACCACAGAGGACCCTGGTGGTGGCAATGGCTTGAGCCAGAAGACGGGAGGACAGCCCCCAATTTATCACAATTAGCTCTTGGAGCAGAGTCCCGAGGGCAACTCCTCCGTCAGGGTCTAATGGGCAGCAGCTTTGCTTCCCGTCTTGCTCCATATTCCTTTAGCCTGATCCGGTCGATGCTGCTGAAGCAGGTGGCGTCCATGGGTTTGTAATCACCCACGACCGCTCATGCTCTCCAGGTTTTCGTTGTGCAGTGGGAGTCCTTCTACCCACTCCTGGGACCTAGCAGTACAGGGGCAGACAAATAAATACCCAGAAGCCTCTGTACGCTGTGAACCTGAGGCCCAGCCCGCTTGATTTTTCACCACCAAAGCCTGGTGAGAGTCGCCTATGCATACTTGAGCTGGGCAATCATCTCTTTGTGCGCTACTTAGGGCACAGTGAGGTAAGAAGGGCTGTTACTCTTTTCATGATTTGTATTTTATTTCTTATTAAACTAAGATTTTTTTTTTTTTTTACCTAAGACAGGGTTTCTCTGTAGCTTGGGAACCTTCCCTGAAACTTGCGCTGTAGACCAGGCTGGCTTCGAACTCAGAGACCCACCTGTCTCTGCCTCACACGTGCTGGGATTAAAGGCGTGCGCCACCAACAGCTGGCCTAAAATATTTTTAATAATGACCATGGTTTCCCTTCCCTCTTCTCCTCCCAGTCCCTCCCCCTACCGCCCCTCTCCTCCAGATCCACGCTTCCTCCCCCTTTCCCTTCAGAAAAAGGCAGGCCTTCCAGGTATATTAGCCAAACATGACATAGCAAGTTATAATAAAATTAAGCACATCCTACTAAGGCTAGGTGAGGCAACCTGTAGGAGGAAAAGGCAAGAATGACACTCTCTTAATCAGCCATAGTGGTGTCTGCCTGTAACCCCAGCACATGGGAGGCAATGGCCAACCTGGTCTACAGAGTGAGTTCCAGGGCTCACCGAGAAACCCTGGCTGGAAGGAAAAAAAAAAGTGGACTCCCCGCCCCCAATGCAAGGTCACCTAGCTGTATGAGACCCTTAAAAAAAAAAGTGTTGGGGGCCTGGTATTTTGGCTCAGCAGTTGAGTACTACTTATACAGAAGACTCAAATTCAGTTCCCAGGACCCTTATTAGGCAATTCACGAGGGCCTGTAAT